AGGTTTGACGAATGATACCTAATAAATTAATAATCAATTCCATTTGTATGTTTGGTTATGAAAGTTCTTTTTGGTTTGCACACGCCAGAACTTCTTGGACTTGAGGAAAACTGGAGAGAGCAAATACCGAAGAGAACTCAATTAATTTGGGTACTCTTCAGTAGGCCACACTATACGTTGGCACGTTTCGTTGCTTTATACTTAGTATCGCATTCATAACACATTCTATGGCCTAGTAACCAAGCTGATAGATTTGTTAGTTCGTATGCGCAGTAATCACAAGCCTGTGATTTTCCTATAGAAAAAAAAAAATACTTTTCAATTCTCAAAATATGGCAACTTGGTACAAATGTTGGCGAAAAGTAAATGAGAAAATGTTTCTATTGATTTGCCTAAAAGCTTTGCAGTAACATCTTTTTATCTACGCAAGTAGATATTTCTTCCTTCTTTTTTCGTTTACTTTTAGTAAGAGCTACATATATGGGCAAATCTAAAAAAAAACTGGTACTTTCTTGCTATTTCTAGTGCTTTTTCCAGCCTATTTGGTTATTTTATTTTGCTTTTTTATATAGGTTCCCTGGTTATGACATAATTAATTTTTCCCCTCTTAAAAATTACATAAAAAATTCACTTCTTTTTAACATTTTTTCAATTAAAACATCTATAATTCAAAAGTTATGCAACAAATTGATTAAAATTTTATTTTTGAGGTTTCAAGTATACATCTATGAATTATATCCAAAAGTAACCAGCTTGATATAGTTTACAACAATCAAAATAAAGCTTATACAAAGGTTACCTGTTTTTTTTTTAGATTTGCCCAGCATACATAGTACATACATACCTTATTCTGCCATTATCATTTTCTATCTAGTTTGCGCCAAAATGGTAAATTTTGCGTGGCTGTGTCAACACAAATAAATTAACGCTTGAACGACTTGGTAAATAATTTCGTGTTTGCTTTGCTGGCCTTGCGGACCATTCAAAGTGAATGCCTGGCCAAATATTGTCTGGTAGAACACGTGGCTATACATCAATAATAAAATCCATTCGGTGCGGCATATTTGCCTAAGGGTGAAGCCAAGTACCCGAACAGTTTACATATCAATATAAATGCATAAGTTATTAGAGTAAAAACAGATATTTTTAAAGCAAACTTTCTAAATATGTACCAAATTGGACCATAAATACTGGTTTACCAAATATATCGACTCGTGCGCCACCTATCGGCAAAACTTTTAGTGGATCCTAAATATGAACCAAATCGGACTAACGGGTTTTTCAAATATCTCGACTCCTGCGCCACCTATGGGATTAACTCATCTTTCGTATTGCATTGTCGTCGGATTCTGATCCATCAGTGAAGTTTCAAGTCTTTAGGCCATCGTTTTATGCAAAAAAATGTATACTTACCGACTTTTTTGCATTTCAGTGACGATTTTAGTTAACGCCTTTGCATTTCAGGTGACAATATATTTCGTGATCTTCGGATCGTCTTACGTTTTTTGAGCTAATTTTTCTTTGTTTTCAAATAAACAAATCCAACATAATGCCAATTTTAATTCTGAAAACGGTAAAATACATCGTCTGCTCGAACATTATACAAAGGTACATAATATTAGCATTTATGATCAAAAAGTCGTTCATAACCAGAGCTGCAAACCACTCCATAAGGCGGTCCGAACTATTTAGGAAAAACATCTGCCGGTGCATCAACCGTTTTGAGAAGACCTATGAACCGTGATTCGCTTCTACTCGATTTTGGTTCAAGAAGTTCAATTGTCACCTTATAATCAATTGAGTGCTTGGACAAGCTTCTTTTCGATACCTTTTCTCGATATCGAGAACTAAGTACCCTTTCGGTAGAGAATGCTAAAATTCTCGGCAGTTTCTCTAATTGTCGTCTAACCTGCTGCCTTAGACAAACACATTAGAATTCGAATCGTTCTCTAACCTAAATATTTGTTGCTGTCGCAATTGGCATTTCTATTGCCACTTTGTTTGTGTTTTTTGAGTGCCGTCAATTCGTTATGCGTTTTTATTTGAAAGGTTTTATTGTTACCAACTTGATTGGCTGGTCGATGGCGGCTCCTCCGTGCTCTATTTGTTTCACAAATAATTAATGTATTAGCTATTGTTGTCCCTCTTTCATATCTTTCACTAGATTTTATGATTTCCTCAAACCGACTTGGTTACAGTCCAAATATTTTAACTACGCAGTTAAATATTTAAAATATTTGTTTGTATATTTTTGTAGTTGTACAAATACTTTCCATCTACGTCAGACCCACTACTTAGATTATACGCTGCTGATTACACCTCGATGGCGCTCTACAATAACGGTACAACTCAAACTATAACAATTTTTAGTGAAGCTAGTTAAAGTTGTCGCGTTTCAAAATTTGCAGTAATTCAGTTGGTAGCTTTCAAATTATGAGTTATCCTTGGAACTGGATTGGTCAAGGATAAGTGACTTGACCTGAATTCGAGAAAAAAATGTTTTAAACATTTGGACTTTAATGTTAACCTTATAGGGAAACCAAAATATGTTCGTCTATAACTTTTTAAATAGCCTAGCTGGCGAGATGGGCATTTCACGTACACATGGAATAATAGTTGCAGAATATGTTAGGATATATAACTCAATTCTTTCTTAAGTCGACTTATGCGGTTATTGCTTATGACCACAGAAAAACTCGTTACTACTGTTAAGTAACTCAATTCTCTAGTCCGTGTCTAAAATTCATGTCGAATCCTTAATAAAGTAAGTAGTAAAGACTATTTACTACCGCAAGTGGTGAAGATTAGGCACGGATGAGACAAGGATTGGTGACATGAGCCACTTAACAGTATTAAGAGTTTTTATTTTTTGAATTTTGAATTGTGTCGTTATTGCAGAGGACCAACGATGTGTACATATGTACATAAGTATGTATGTAAAATTTAAAGTTACTTTAATTGGTATTAACTTTATCGCTTAACTTTGCCTCACTTTCAATTGTGAAACTTTTTTGCAATTGCGAAAATGTCAATTAGCGGCCGGCCACCACGCTTTCGCCACGACTCTGCTTGTTGCGTTGTTGGCTGTCAATCCATTTCAAGTTGAGCTGAGCTGATTTTGAGTTGAGTTGAGTTCTGTTGAATTGTTTTTTTTAGTTGGGACAACTTTTTGCAAGCGTTCAAAAAACTTTTAATTATGTTCAAATGTTTGTGTGTCAGCACGTTGCTGCGTTGCCGCCTACGGGCAAGGTGGGTAAAAATAATTTCCGCCGCATTGCTGAAGTTTCCATTCGCAGCGAAGCGTACTATCCCTCAGCATTTTTAAAGGTCAACTGGGCGGTTTCATTGCACCGCTTCACTTTTCATTTGGACAGATTCAACCTTTTTTTGATGCAAATTATCAATTTAAGAGGCGATGACAAAAAGGATATGTGAAAATAAAAGCAACATTGATGCTGTTATGTTAATTAAGGTCATGGCACTTATTATATGTATGTAGGTAGTCTTGCAATTTGTGTGTTTTGTTTTATTATAATGCCACAGTAGCACCGCCTTTTTCTGATCTACGCGCTATTCAAATATTTACATAAGTATGTATGTATGTAGTACATGTCTATATGTATGCAGGTACATACATACATATGCCCATACGTACATGAAATGTGTGCTAGCATGCGCTCCCAAAAAATGGCCGCGCCCAAGCAAGTTCATACTTCAGCTGCGCCTCCAGCATTTATCACACCACAAAGCTTTGGTCATAAACTATCAGCTTTTATATGTACATAAAATAAGATATCAAACCTGCGCGCAGCAACAACCATAACAAAAAAAACCAAAAAAAAAAACTACATAACCTTTTCTTTGTAATCTCGCTTTTGACGTCCCGTGATTATGTAATCGCTTTCGCATGCCCTGCCTAACAGCGGGCGGGTGTGTGTGTGTGCATGTGTGAATATTAAGAATTTTGCTGATAAGCTTCTTGTACTTGCCAGCTGGTTAGCGAATAGTCACCGTGTAGCTCGCTCCATATTCGTTCCTTGTAAGCCGCGGCCTTCCAACCGGTGGTGGTGAGTGTTGTCGTCGAGTTTCTCTCAATCGTTTGAAGAAGTGTCTTTGAAGAGTTGAAGAAAACTGAAATTCGATTTGGTCAATGCATATACATACATACATACCTATGTACATATGTATGTACATTGTATATACTTAACAAATTTTTGACATCAAAAGTGAACTATAACAAGGGAAGGGGCGGACGGCGTTGCTGTTAATTTTGAAACGCTTTTTACATTTAATATTTTTAGCCACCGTGTGGATCGGTGGAAATAAAATGCAATAAATTACATACTAAAAATGATAATCGATTTCTTTGACATTTTTAATTACATACATGATATTTTCACAAATACTTAGTTCGAAATGTACAGTAAAAAGCTTCTTTCTCAGCTGACGTGCCTTTTCCAATTATATGCGGATTTAGTTGTTCACAACAAGTTTTTTAGAATAAAAATGAATGCGGCCTAATAATTTCAGTTGTGCGCCATACTACATTCGCACAGTTATTTTTCCTTGCGTACCTACACAGTCTTTGAAGTTCCAAAATACCGAGAAATACTGCGCCTCATTGGCCTTCAAATAATTGTGATGGCGCTGTGGTAATGATCCTTTTGCACTTCAAGGCTAAGTCAGTTGCTACTGCTGTCTGTCGAAAGTAAATAAGTATGACTGGCGGGGTGGCTTATTTGTGTTTTTAGTCTTACAAATTCTCCGGCTACCTACCGGCTATGCTGTGTCACCCACCGCCCGCAACGCTTACTAAGCGCAAACTTGGCAAATTTGCTGCGGCGTAATTTATTCCGCTGCGCTCGGGATTTCTGTGCTTTGAAGCTTTGTAGGATAAGCGAACTGGTCTGAAAGAGTTACAAGTCTTATTTTCGAAACAAAATATTCTCATCCCGAATGCTCTTCATATACATACATACATAATTTGCCATCTTCCAAATTCTAATCTACTACATATTTTCATTTATCATTGCAGATAGTCACACTGTGAGCGGCGCATTCAGTTTTAGAAACCCTGCGTTGTAATCTCTCTTGGCGGTTTGATAGGAAAACCCAGCTTCAGTTTTTTTCTTTAAGCTCAGCGTAAGCAGCAAGCAAAACAAAACACATCAAAATGTCTACAGTCGACAAAGAGGAATTGGTCCAAAAGGCAAAGTTGGCCGAACAATCTGAAAGGTGAATTATTCTAGCCATAACATAAATAAGTAAATGGTGTATTTTATTAACAATGATTTTTTATATATATTTTCAGATACGATGATATGGCTCAGGCTATGAAATCAGTCACAGAAACCGGTGTTGAACTGTCAAATGAGGAAAGAAATTTACTCTCCGTTGCATACAAAAATGTTGTTGGTGCCCGCCGGTACGTTGCTTTCTTATTTACTTAGCTTTTATGATTTGATAACTGAAAGATATGTACATATATATATGTGGGAACAGAATTGTGAGTGCGCGCGGTCTGCTTCATAGATTGCTTGTGAATTTTAGCGAATAGAATTAATTAATTAAATAGATATAACGGCTGTAACATGAATTCGTATTTTTAAAACTCCGAGCAATATTTTAGAAGTCTAAGTTTTTAAGTGTAAAGCCATTTGGTATTAATGCTAAGAGAATTGCAGTTTCGCAAACATGTTTTACGAATGTCATACTCCTAGTTTTGTAGAATAGCTAAAATGTGGCTTATAATATAGTTAAGAGTTTAGTAATAAGATAGTAAGATACTATATATGTATAAAATTTGGCTAGTTTTTACAGTATCAAATACTTTTTTATATTAATGTACGAATTTCTCAATTTCTTCTCAGATCATCGTGGAGAGTAATTTCATCAATCGAGCAAAAAACTGAATCCTCCGCCAGAAAACAACAGCTCGCCCGCGAGTACAGAGAACGCGTGGAGAAGGAACTTAGGGAAATTTGTTACGAAGTTTTGGTAAGTTTTTTTCCGTGTGTATTTTTTAGATGCTGTTTTCATGTTTCAGTCATAAATAATTAGTAGTACTGATTAAAGCACAACGAAAATATATTTCCACACTAATCCATTCGCCCGGTGCTGAAGTACATACTTTGTTTTTGTAGAGTTTCAGAACAATTTAAATGTGATATTATACATATATGCACATATGTATATGCTTGATAAAGGACAGAACCTAATTCCTTAATAGCGTGCAACCAAAGAGCGAAATAAACCACACGGACGGCTTTCTTAACTTTTGTTTATTTCCCCATGCACTATACAAGCAAGTATTTTTCGTTTTTTTCCGGCTGATGAAGGGTGCAGATAGCGATTTTGTCGCTTAAATTTTGCTCATCTTCGATACGTGTCAGTGAAAATTATGTTTTTTTTTTGCATTTTTTGTGCTCAGGAGTTTTTAATACATGCAATTTTCTTATACAACTTTACCAAACGCCATACAAGCGTTTGATCGAGCTTCAACATGGCGGCCAGAAAATAAAAATTGCGATTTTTGTTAAAATTTCCCTCAAGTGGTCTGTCAAATACGGTCGGTGTTATGCAGAAATTGTGTTTGGCAACACCAAATTAACGGTAGCTTGGCCCAACAAACTCTCTCTCTCCTCGAGTTTGCTGCAACAACAATTGCACGCAGCTTGCCAGTGTTATATCTCATTTTGCGGTTTCTCTCCTTACAAATTGCTTATAAGATTTTGATTTATCACTTTTACTTATCATAACTTTTGCACTTCAGCTTTCTTTTTATAAAATTGCAGTCTTTGATTTTAATCTCTAGATTAAAAGTTTTTGTTCAGCAATTTTTTCTCCAACAACTAGGTTTACAATACACGATGAGTCGCGAAATATATCTAACAACTGATTTCGAAAGTTGCCAAAAATCTCCCTAATATGAAGATTTTGGCACTAAACCTAATTTGGTCGAGGATTGAGTTTTACTTTTGTCACATTCTTTAAAAAAAAAAAAAACGTGAAAAGAAAATACCAAATAGTAGCGCCAATGGGTCGTTTTAGGTGTTTGTTAGAGAATTGATTGAGCTTTAACACAGTATCTACGAAGACAACTTGTTGAGAATATAGTAAATGGACCAAACGGTAAAATTAAAAATATGTTGAGCTTATTCTGCTGATTGGCAGTGTTTATATTTAATTAACTTAAAATTTAGTATTTTCAAACAATCCTTAAAGAACCCGCAGGCCTTCGTTTATAAATGTTCAGATTATACATCTCAGCATGTTCAGGAAAAATATCGTAAGCGCCATTTTACTTTTAGAAAATAAGGTATGCAAAAAAATAAATAGTCCTATTAGAAAGCTAGCATTCAATAATGTTGTTGTCCATTTAAATCCAAATAAATTTTCACACTATTTAAGGGAGAATAAAAAAATCTGGGTAATCCCGTATTTATGGTCCGATTTGGTTCATACTTCGAAGGCTTGTTTTAACAAGTAATTTTTAAGCAAAAAACAAAACCGCCTTCAATTCTCATATACAAATTTAAGACTACCGTTAATTTCTTCACGATCCAATGATCGGATCTGAACTAAAATAGTATGGGACCACCTTTCCATTAAAAAAGGAATTATAGAAATCGGTTAACGTGGTCCAAAGTTATGCGGTTAAAAATATATTTTTATTATTGACTTATTTGTTGGGAGTGCTCTTTTTAAATTGTTTTTCAACTAAAATATCAGATTGGAGTGTACTTTCTTGGCATATGTAAATAAAAGCTTTTTGAGCTGTGAATGCAAGTAAAACCTCACACCAAGCTGATATGTAAACATTTAATATAAATTAATAGTCAGCCTTATCATGAATATTTTGGTGAAAAATTTCACCGGCAAACCGAAACGTTCACTTTATCATGAATGTGGAACAATTTCGGGTGAACGGCATTTCACACAGAAATTTCGAAGTAGGTAACAGGTGAATACGGTATACGATAGCGTGGAAATGATTCGAAGTGAACTACTCGCTTGCTGAATATTCAACATACAATAGGAAAACTACATGGGCGAAATGTAAACGAGTTCACACGAAATGAAAAATAAAACTTTCTGAATATGAACCAAATCGGACCATAAATACGTGTTTTCCAGATACCTCAACTCTTGCGCCATCTATCGGCAACATTTTTGCGGTGTTATTCCTTTTAATGTAGGTAATACATATATATTACAAACATCTACTAAATCAGACCATAGGCCCAGTGTTTCGAAATAATTCGACCGCAGCATCACCTACCGGCTAAATTTTTTGTGGAATTATTTCCTCGCATGTAGGTGATTATGTATGTATGTGCATATTGTATCCACCAAATTCAATACCACGATTGAGGTGGCACAGAAAAAAATTTATTTTGGCTGCCGTCTCAATGCTTGTCTACTTCACAAATTTATTGTTGAATAATTATAGTAGAAATTCATATTTAGTAGATTCGTTTAGAAAACCATTCAAAAGTTTTGAAGAAAATCTGTTTCTTTACTCTTTTGAAACATTTTCGAATTATCTTATACGTGGTATTGCAAGCGACTATGTATTATCAAAGAATAAATTAAGTTAAAATAAATACATATACCAAATTATTTACGTTTTTTTTTTTAAGCAAGCAACATTCTTGTAACGGTATTGACATTAACATTAACTCGATTAAATAGAAGGCGAATGAGAATGTCAAGCGATAATTAAACAATAGCAAAAACAAAATATTACTTGTGTATGTATGTATATTCACTCGTCAATTTAAACTAGGCTATAAAAAAGTGGCATAAGTTGAAAGAGTGAATGGCGCAGTTGGCTAGCCCCTAACAGCTGGTTTTTCATGTATATATATGTATGTATGTACATTCATATGTAAATGCAATTGTAAATGTCACACCGTTCTGCACATCTTCCGCTTTCTTACCTTAAATCCATAGCCCACAAATTGCTGCACCAGCCATTACCTTTTGAAGGCTCCACACCCTGTTGTGTGCGGCTGGTAAGCACTTAGCAAATATTAAAAAAAAACCATCATTAAAAGCCTCGGCAATGAAATTCATTGAAGTATTTACATATGTACATATCGCTGCCTTAATATAGAAAGGCCCTATCTGACATCGTCGCTGATATACAAAAAGCCGTAACTAACTAAAAATCGAAAATTTACGTTTTAATTGATTATGATGCATTTGATCGCATTATATGGCCCCAAATCATTTTATGCAATAAAAGATTTTAGTTAGTTACGGCTTTGTGTATTTCAGCGACGATGTGAGATAGGGCCTTTCTATATTAAGGCAACGATATGTATTCCTATACTTATCCTTATACCGTTTCTGAGCGTTGGAGCAATTGTCTCGTTTGTCATTGCATCGACCTCAAACGTCCTACCTAATATAACTACTTTTCCTTCCTTTGATGCCTTTTTGCTTGCTCTGCAAGTCTTCTGTGTTAGAATGGTTTAGTGATTAGAATAGAAGTGTTCGTTCGCGGCATATTTTCCAACAGTCTGCTTGCTCGCTTTCAACGCCTCTGCAGCAGTGCTTTTAATAGCACAAATTGAAATTCAATCGATACCGATAGAGAAAACGTATATTTTTAAGTGGGTTTTGTGCGCATTTAACTTTTCTTGCACCCATAGCTGGTTGCTGGTTGCTGGTTGCTGGTTGCTATTGTTTCCATCTCTTTCACTTTCCTCTGGCACGCGCATTGTTTGCTGGGCTATTTTATAACCTTTTGTTGTTTGAGTTCGATTCGAAATCGCTTAAACTGTATATGTATCTAGAAATTTGTTCACTCCTTGACTACTAATGGAATGGAAGATAATAAAAATAATCGAGAGCAGTTTTTATAACGCCTTTTCGTTTGATGCGTGGCATGAAAACGCCAGTAATAAATTTTATGTCAAAAAATAATTTGTAGATATATGTATGTATGCATTAGGTTTTTAACAGCAGCAAATATTAATTTCTCATCTGTGGTATATGCATACATATGTACATACATACATATATAGTATGTACATTAGACCAAGTCAAAAAGAAAAAAATCCTGCAACGCGACCAGAATAAGACTCAAATTTTAGCATTTGATACAGTAATGCTCCTCCATGAATCTCCCCTCTCTAGGACAATTGTAAGAGGTCCCGCGTCGTCGAGCCTTTAGTTTTCCCATAGGAATTATACGTAAGAAAATGAGTCCCTTTTTATGCTACGAATTCGTAAGGATAAAGTTTCCATCAGCTCTAGATTTGGACAAAAAGGAGGTCAAAATGTAAAAAAATCCGGTTTTTTGCAATTTGGAATTTTGAGAAGATTTAGCAAAAAAAAAAACAAAGGGTGATAGAACCTTACACTTAAGCTTTATTTAAAGTTTGGGCTTCCGACTACAATCCTTGAAAATACTATCCCTACATCTAAGGTCACTTTTAGTAATTTATTGAATAGCAAAAACTGATTTTGGCACAATTACAATAACAATAAGCGACCATCAAGTCAAGGCTTTTTATACCCGAACGCACTTATGCACAAGGGTAAATATTTTAACTTTGTTCGCATAACGGTTGTTTGTACTAGCCAAAGCGAATCGATATAGATATAGAAAAATGTATACATAAATGCTCTGAATGAGAAGAGAAATCGATTAAGCCATGTCTGTCCGTCCGTCTGTCTGTGCACACGATAATTTGAGCAAAAATTGAGATATGTCAATAACGAAATTTGGTAAGTAGGTTGCCCTTTATCCAAACGAATGACAAAACTGTCTGCCTTTGGCTGATGAATGATGAGATGAACAATTACCAGAAGCGATCAGATACAGATAACAAATCAATCAAGCACCGCACCAGAGGTAATAAGTGACATAGAACGTTTTGCAGTAACACCGACGATATGTGTATCTCGGTACCCAGTTTATCAATTTCTCCCAAGCTCGGCACATTTTGCAACCTTGGCGCAAAAAAGCAATATGTTAAAATTTTTTGCAATCAGACTAAAATTGCCGCCACTTACCATATAACGGTAAATTTCAGAAATGCGAAAACTCCGATATTTCAATAACTAAAGATGCCAACTTAGAACAATCTTTTAAAAAGACACAAGATTATTTCGATGGCTGAGTGGAAGATCGACCTATCTCGGCAGCCAGTTCGAAAATGCTCTATCTCAAAAAACTTTTCAAGAACGTCCTATTTCAGAATTCGTTTCAAAAATGCCTTGTCTCAGCTGTCGATTCAAGAACACTCTATATCAGCATGTTTTCAAACGATATTTAACACGTGCGCCGGGTATATAAAGTTCGGTTTCGCCCGAACTTAAACTTCTTTACTTGTCAAATATTGCCAGTAACGCAACACTTTAACGTCGTCCGTCTTGAAATCTCGAGCTGATGCAAGGTTAAAGTAATGCGTTCTGTAAACTACACCTTTTCCAACAGTATTTCGGAAAAGCACAAATGCATTTCAGAAAATGCCAAATGAATTTCAGAACAGGCCAAATGAATTTCAGAAAAACTCTAAATGTATTTCAGAAAACCTCAAATGTATTTCAGAAAAGCACAAATGTATTTCAGAAAAATATTTTTAGAATACAGTTGTGCTTTTCTAAAATCAATTTGTGTTTTTCAGAATTTCGTTTAGCTCTTTCTGAAAAACATTTGGTTTTTTCTGAAATACATATGAGCTTCTCTGAAATACATTTGCTCTTTGCGTTACTCCATCGATACAAAAAGTAAACGGTTACCAAAGAATCAACGTTTTTGATGGGAATCATACATATGTTAAAGAATTACCTCCTCAATAAAGGTAACCATTTCAGGGAGTAGCGTCCGCAAATTTCCGATTTTCAAAAATTAGGGTCACTCTAATGTACATACATACATACATACATACGTATATATATATGTTTCGGATATATTTATAACGTGTCATTGTTTCAACAGATAATCAATCGCATCCCTTTGATAGTTAATCAGCTGTGAAAGAGGTCGTTGGAGGTATTATGGCAAAGAAATTTAGACCATGTACATATGTATGTATGTCACCGGGTCAAAGCTAAAAAAAAACAAAATAAAGGCGGTAGCTTGGGCATTACTGTCCTTACCCTTCTTTTCACAATGTGCATATCTCTGTACTCACACAACCCAGCAAACACCAAACGAAAATATCCAGAAACCGTTGACAAATTCCCGGCGTTGAAAAAATGAATAACTCAAAAGGTTGGATAACAATTTTAGAATTGGCATTTTCTCAATTTTTGCAGTTTGAGAACACATCCGTTTTTTAACAATAAATGTGCCTTTTTGTTGAGAATTCTATACATCTAAAGGGGACATCGATGTATGTATGTAGGAACATTCGTTCTCAACTCAAACTCAGTTATTGTCGAACCCAAATGTTCGCTGGGCTCAGACTATACATATACATATACATATATAGGTGTATGTTAGCATGAATGCTCGTGCATGCGTGAAGTGGAGCTCTGTGTATGCCCTGCCCTTCCCTTTTTGTTTTACCTTCGCTTATGAATGCGCCGCCAATGTTCCAATTACTGTCTCCATCGTGGCATGGCGAGTTTTTTGTTTCTGTGTTTAATCGCAATCACTTTCATTCTTACCGTTTCTGCTGTTGCAAAGCCGAAGAGTGGTTGATATAATTAATCACATAGGTGGAAATAGGTATCTATGAGTATATGTGAGTGTGCGCAATTTTAGTGGCATCAAGGATACGACACACACTGTAACTGTGCCCATTATATTGCTGTGCCCACTTGGGGGTTATATTATTTGAGTTGTCCTATGGAGCGGAAAGCGCGTGTCAAAAATAACGTCATTAAACGGTGTATCGTCGGTTCAGTTTGCAGATAACAGTACAAGGAATTGTGCTAGTTGGGAAATTTAAAATACCCAACAACAGTCTGCCACTTACCATGTTCTTCAAGCAGTAGTTACAAGGTAAAGCGCACATCAGCCAATTTGGTAGTAGACCAGAAGTAGAGCAAAAAATTTAGCTCAAACAATTAGAACCATCCCTAGAAAGCATAGATCGTTCATATAAAAATTATTCAATAACTTTCCAGCAACTCTCTAGTAACTTAATATTCGAGAAAAATAGCCGAAAAAGTACATGATTGTAAAACCAGTAACAGTTTGCAAATTTCGTGAACAGCTGATTAATTTGCTGCTCTCTCAATTTCCCTTTGCAAGTTTTTGGATACATGAACACTCCAAAACTGGATAATTTATGACAATTATTACAAATTATTTGCTACATGAACAGGCATAATATCAGATGACTAACATTTCCGCTCAGAAGGGCGGGTTTGTTTCTCTTTTTCCTCAAGCTTCTAGTTTTTTGTATTGTGCGCCACATTACAGCTTATACATACAAAGCATTTTCTAGTCGCGGGCTTGAGAACATTTAACCAGACTCCCACCTTTCAGAAAATCTTTTGCCAATTACAGTATCTGCAAATATCATATTCGTTTACTGTTTGCTATGCGATTATGTAAGAAATGGCGCTTCTCACATTTTGCTAATTGCATCACCGAGTTTCTCATCTAATTTGTGGTGCGTGTACTCTTCATGTTGTCATTTGAACTGAGTGATGAGAAATAGGAATGGTCGGTTTCACACTTTAACATTTCTGCCACGAGAACAACTCAGCTTGTAGGCAAGAGAGGCAATGCGGTGAGGTAAAGTTTTTTAAAAAGTTGTTCCAGCTTCCTACCCCGCATTAAAGTGGCAGTTCTGCTGCAGCGCACCAACACATGCGCAACTACGAAAATGACGCTGCGCAACTTTCAAGCGCAATATTTACAAATACACATTTTATTCTGCTAGTTTGCATCCAGTGTGAAACCGTGAGAATAAAATTGTTCTGTCATTCTAGCGTGAAACAGCCCAATCGCAGTATAAACTGCGACGTATGCCATTGCCTGACGATGGATGGCCGCTATTTGAATAAAACTTTTTTTTTTTGAGGTTAGTCGGTCTAAGAACTAAAACCTGAGTCTTGAGCTCTCTGAACTCACCATTCGGCCACGGTGGTCGCCACACTACAAATTCAAATACTATTTAAGGCCAATACAAAAGTATCTATTTTTTAATGTGCATTTAATTGTATTTGTATGGTTTATTATCTTTTTTAGGGTCTTCTGGACAAACACCTTATTCCAAAAGCCAGTAATCCAGAGAGCAAGGTCTTCTACCTGAAAATGAAGGGAGATTATTACAGGTATTTAGCTGAGGTGGCCACAGGAGACGCCCGTAACAGTAAGTATTTGAATCGTGTTTTGTATTTCTACTGTGGTTATGTGATATTGTAACTCCACTCCCACACAAAAACCACCACCACCAGTCCCTTCCTTAAATCCCGTACATTTTACTACTCTGTGGTAACCCTACTCATGCAGTATCATTGCCATACATTTACATAGAAACCTTAAAATATTTCTAATATTAATTTAATTTTTTTTTCTAAAAAAAAAAAAAAAAATAAAAATAAAAATGAATTGATTAATCCTAAATCGCAACGTCGTGTTAACAGCNAATTTACATAGAAACCTTAAAATATTTCTAATATTAATTTAATTTTTTTTTCTAAAAAAAAATAAAATAAAAATGAATTGATTAATCCTAAATCGCAACGTCGTGTTAACAGCTGTTGTAGACGACTCTCAAACCGCTTACCAGGATGCATTTGAAATTAGCAAGGGAAAAATGCAGCCAACACATCCAATCCGGTTGGGTTTAGCCCTAAACTTTTCAGTCTTCTATTATGAGATTCTGAATTCTCCAGACAAAGCTTGCCAACTGGCCAAACAGGTTAATATGCTATAATAAATTATGAGAAAAAAAATGGATTAATGCAAGCATTTCAAACAAACAAGCAACATGTGACAAGCTACTTTTCGTAGTCCTTTTTAGTCGTCGATTAGAAATTGCAAATAAAAATTTAACATGGGTTGGAACACGACACATCATCGATCAAAAACAAAACAAAAAACAATTCTGTAAAAATGTCGACAAAAATAGTAGGTGTATTATTTTAAATTGGAAAAAGCTGCGAAAACCTTGAATGCTTGGAAACTGTGACTGTCAAAACTTGTCTAAATATTTTTAGAGTTTTAGAGTTTTCCATGTATTCAAGTTAAGAGAAGCGCCAAAAGTTTGACACACATTTTAATTCGAACTTATCATATAATTTCGAATCGCTACAAGTATATATTTTGTGTTTTTTTTTGTTTGCCGTGAAACAACTCACGGTGGGGTCTGGCCATTATTTATTGAATTTATATTAGCACAAAAATTATTTATGTACATACTATTCCATAGATTTTTTAAAATTTTCTTTAACCACTTTGTTCGTCTGATTTTAATATTAATTCCGATTAATTCTAATTTTTTTTTTGTTTTATTGTTTTTTCTTTTCATTACCTTCTCATGTGCTCATCGATTTTTCTGCTCTCAAAATTACTCCTTCCGTTCGTGTGCTAAACAACTTCACACCCACAAATGCACGCATAAATAATCAATTCAATTATAAACACGCGTTTTGCTTTAAAAAAAAAAAAAAAAAAAAANTTATGAGATTCTGAATTCTCCAGACAAAGCTTGCCAACTGGCCAAACAGGTTAATATGCTATAATAAATTATGAGAAAAAAATATGGATTAATGCAAGCATTTCAAACAAACAAGCAACATGACAGACAAGCTACTTTTCGTAGTCCTTTTGAGTCGTCGATTAGAAATTGCAAATAAAAATTTAACATGGGTTGGAACACGACACATCATCGATCAAAAACAAAACAAAACAATTCTGTAAAAAACCTTAAGATTATAATTAAGCATGTGTGAAATGCAAAAATGTCGAGAAAAATAGTAGGTGTATTATTTTAAATTGGAAAAAGCTGCGAAAACCTTGNCTTATGAGAAAAAAAATGGATTAATGCAAGCATTTCAAACAAACAAGCAACATGTGACAAGCTACTTTTCGTAGTCCTTTTTAGTCGTCGATTAGAAATTGCAAATAAAAATTTAACATGGGTTGGAACACGACACATCATCGATCAAAAACAAAACAAAAAACAATTCTGTAAAAATGTCGACAAAAATAGTAGGTGTATTATTTTAAATTGGAAAAAGCTGCGAAAACCTTGAATGCTTGGAAACTGTGACTGTCAAAACTTGTCTAAATATTTTTAGAGTTTTAGAGTTTTCCATGTATTCAAGTTAAGAGAAGCGCCAAAAGTTTGACACACATTTTAATTCGAACTTATCATATAATTTCGAATCGCTACAAGTATATATTTTGTGTTTTTTTTTTGTTTGCGGTGAAACAACTCACGGTGGGGTCTGGCTATTATTTATTTAATTTATATTAGCACAAAAATTATTTATGTACATACTATTCCATAGATTTTTTAAAATTTTCTTTAACCACTTTGTTCGTCTGATTTTAATATTAATTCCGATTAATTCTAATTTTTTTTTTGTTTTATTGTTTTTTCTTTTCATTACCTTCTCATGTGCTCATCGATTTTTCTGCTCTCAAAACTACTCCTTCCGTTCGTGTGCTAAACAACTTCACACCCACAAATGCACGCATAAATAATCAATTCAATTATAATCACGCGTTTTGCTTTAAAAAAAAAAAAAAAAAAAAA